GTGTGCACACTAGAGTAAGCACGTGGTTGGATGGCCTCTCATATGTATTCCAACCAACTCCTGTATTCAGGCAGCCCAAGTTTATATTGCAAATAATGTAATCCTTAGGAATTAGAAGCTCAATTTCTGGCCTAACTCAGAGGTGTGTTGCTATAATCCCATCAGGAGGCTGAGGCAGGGGGAAACAAGTTTGAGACTAGCATGGACAACTTGGCAAAGCCTCTGTCTCAAAATAAAAATAAAAAAGGCTGGTGTGTAGCACAGTGGTAGAGTGCTCCTGGGTTAAATACCCAGTATGAAGAAGACAAAGAAGAGGAGGAAGAGGAGCAGGAGGAGGAGAAGGAGGAAGGAAGAAGAGGAGGAGGAGGAGGAGGAGAAGGAAGGAGGAGAAGAGGAGGAACTCAATTTCTGAAGAGCAAGATTTGGACTTTGCCATTTATTAACTGCATGACCTTGACCAAGTCATATACTTTGTGCCTCAGTTTCCCTATCCAAAACTAGTGATGATAATAACAGTCAGCCCAGAAGATTGCTGTGAGTTGACAGGCTGGGCCTGGTGGTGCACGCCTGTAATCCCAGCAGCTTGGGAGGCTGAGTTAGGATGATTGTGAGTTCAAAGCCAGCCTCAGCAAAATTAAGGGGCTAAGCAACTCATTGAGAACCTGTCTCTAAATAAAATACAAAATAGGGCTGGGGATGTGGCTCTGTGGTAGAGTGTCCCTGAATTAAATCCCTGGTACAAAAAAAAAAAAAAGACTGAGTAGACAGGAAGGGTGGTGATGCATGCCTACAATCCCAGCTACTTGGGAAGACAAGGCAGGGGGATTGCAAGTTTGAGGCCAGCTTCAGAAACTTGGCAAGACCCTGTCTCAAAATAAAAAATAAGAAGGACTGGGAATGTAGCTCAGTGATAAAGTGCTCTTGTGTTCAATTCCTGGTACCACTCCCCTCGCTTCCCAAAGTGAGTACAGCAGTGCTGACACTGCTTAAATTATTTTGTTTCAATTATTATCATCATCATTGCAGGTGACAAACATGTGAGCTTCAGAAAGATCAACTAATTTACTCAAGGATGCTATCTTTGTTTGTGAGGTGTGTTAGTATCCCCCCTGATACTTCCCACTGCATGTAATCCAGAGGCCAGGCATATATGAATGATATTTTTTTTTGAGCTAGCACATTTCAGTTGACACTCACAACAAAAACTCTTTATTATGAGCATAATTGTCTTCATTTTAGCAATGAGAAGATGAGACACAGAGAATTTGAGGGAACTGCATAAAGTCACATAGCAGATGAGTTTGAAATCAATCCTGGGTTTTCAGATACAAATCTCTCAGACTCTTCTCCTATGCCCCTGAGTGTCCTGGATACCAGGAGCTTGTACTGCTTGAGCACTGACCATAGCTTGGACCCAGTGCTACATGATCTTCATATGGAGCATTTAAAAAACATTCTCCCGACAATTATAGAATTTAATTCCAGTTTTACATATGTAAGAAAGTGAAGCCCAAGTGGTCATGTGGATTTCCCAAGGAAAGCCTCATGGTTGGGATTTAAGACTCTGGCCCCCCACGCCAGTCTCTAAGCTGAGCTGTGCCTACGTTTGCCTAAAGTGAGAATCACCTTCATGCGTGTTTTTCAGGGAGAAGCATGGCTGTTACTGTGCTCTCTCATCCCAGGAAACAAACCTGAGCCTCCAGATGACTCTGCAGGCCTCTGCTCACCTCTTGCCTCACAGTTTCCTCTGACCCTTTCCCCTGCCCCTCCTCCCTTTCTTTCATGCAAATCCTGCAGAAAGCACTGGCTGCTGCAGCCCCCTTCACGACAGACATTCTCATCCCTCAAGACTCAGTGCCCCAGGGTGTGCTTTTTATTTTTTTATTGGTGCATTATAATTATATGTAATACTGGGATTCATTATGCTATATTCACACAAGCATGTAACATAATTTGATCATTCTCATTCCCCAGCACCTTTTCTTTCCTCCCCCTCTCCCTTTCCTGATACCTTTGCTCTACTCTACTGGTCTCCTTTCTACTACTACTACTACTACTATTATTATTAATTATTGCATTATAATTATATGTATAAGCAGGACTGGGATGTGCTGATATGAATGCTGTTGCACAAGTTTTTCTGGAGGTTCTTCTAAATCTCTGCTTCTCTTCCCCATCTCCTCTGGCTCTGCAGGTCACAAACCCTAAACTGCAAGGCAGCTGTGGCTGAGGCTACTGGAAGAAAGTGCAGAGACTCAGGCATCTGGGACTCCTGGCAGCAGGAAGAGGAGGGACATGCACCAAGCGTTTTATGCTCCCACGGCTCCACAGCCCTGGAAGGCCTGTCAAGCACAAGACTTGGGGATATTGAGCTTTTGAAAAATTTGGGCTTGTAATAGTGAAGATTTGTGGGATTGGCCTACAGTTGGCTTTCAGAAAGTGGTGTCTATTTTCTTTCACACCAGCTTTGCTAAAGGAGTTCACTAGAGTCTTCAAGGGACAGGCCAGCTCAGGCCAGTGTGACCTGATCTCTGAGCAGCTGTCCAACCTTGCCAGGGCAGTGACCAGCCAGTCTGCAGCCCACGGCTTCCTGGAGAGACTTCTAGTGTTATTACACTGTGTGCTTTTCCAAGGCCTTCAACAACTGGGACCTGTTTCAAGGCCATCTTACCAGTGAGAAGACGAATCCTAACTCCTGCTGCCAGAAAGCTTGTAGAAGCCATTTGAGAAAGCTGCCCTCCCTTGGAGAACAATTCCCAAGAGAAATCTGGGAGCCTTTGAGGATTCACAGAGCATTTCTCAAATTGTATGTGCTAGGTGCCAGAAGCCACCCATGGCAGAAAAGTGCAGATGACCACTCACTCAACAATATCTGGGTGGCTCTTTGGACAAGAGGGTTCCTCTGCCTCCTGTGGCTCAGAAGCTGGCCCAGAGATGGGGCAGAAGGGCTCTCTCACTAGTGTTAGAAAAAGGGGCTTTGAGCCCTTTTCTTCCTCCAAGTAGAATTATTCATCCAGAAAGTGAGTTTGATTTCATCTTTGAAATGACCTATGACACAATCAGAAGATGTTAGACCTTTAACGTCATCAGATTTCCCAGTCTGTACATGGGAGTCTGCGGCCCCAAGAAAGTGTGTTGATGAGGGTTGCTGGCAAGTCCAGGCTGGAGGCATGCCCCCATTCAAGCTGCCCCCACCCAGATTCCTCCACCAAGTAAAGATGCGGGCCTGTGGCCTAGAAGTCTGGGCTCCCTTGGGGGAGGACTGTGTGGTGTGAAGCTCTTTGACAGCCAACCACAAACTACCCTTGGTTTTTCTAGACTGAGATCTGACAGTAGAGCTCTGGCTTTAGCCTGAGGACCATGAAACACTCCTGTCCTTGGTGTCCTCTCCTTTCTATTGCTAACAGCATAAAAGCAAGCACTCTCCTTTGGGGGCCATGGGAAAGGCGCCATTCCCAGAGGCTGTGATGCGAGACCTCTGTGATCTGGCTGAAACGCAGAATGGGCCCTGTTGTTCTCTATAGATGGGGCCTGAGTCAGGCAGAGTGCCCATTAAGGGGATACTGCGGCATTGATTCTGAGAGTATTGCTTCTCCCTCTCCTGACCTCCCCAGGCACACCTGTGTGGGAGGGACCAGGCAGAGGGCCCAGTGTGCTCATTTCAGAGTCTTGCCTGTCCCAACTCACTGAGCTCACACAAAGGCCTTCACTCTGAACTGGAAGGTCAGGGGCAATCAGATTTGTGGCTCAATGGGTTTGAAGGGAGGAGACTGTGTTGAGTGAGATAGATTTCTCAGTGTGGGAGAATGAATATCTGTTTCTGGGCCCAACTGTAGTTATACTCAGTAAAGGAATTGAGGAGGTGGCATAGAAGCCAGAGCTGGCCATTCCCAAAGCAAAAAATATGTAAATTTTTCTGAGGGACATCACACTCTGAAAGGGAAGTTGTGTATCTTTTTATTTTTTTAACTCCTGTTTTGAGATTTACCTAGGTTCACTTAGTGTATATGAGTAGAAGGAAAAAATAACAATGTCTTTTATACAATGAAATCTTAATCAAATAGAAGTTGAATTCTCTCTCAGCATAAAAGTAAATCCATCACTGAGGGCTATTTTTGTTTGACACAGGGACAGGGCCTAGGTTTTTTTCTATTTACTTGGTGTTCTCATATATGACTTCTATTATGTGGCCCAGTAGAGCTGCAAAAGATACAGCCATCATATCTATATTCTAGCTAACAAGAAAGAGGAAGGAAGCAAAACAGTCTTCTTGATCTTCTGTTAAGCACATTTGCTAAAATCTACAGTACTTCTGCTGTATTGGGAGAACTTAATTCCAAGACCACAACTAATGCAGGAGAGACTAAGGAATGCAATCTTTATTCTAGGTGGACATGTACCTAGACAAAAATCAGGGATTTTGTTACTGAGGAAGGTAACCTGTAGGTACAGACCTAGATTTCCAATATTATCTTGTAAGACTAGCTTTAGAAGCATAGACTGATAATGGAAAGGTTAGAAATCAGCTAGTCTACATCCTCATTTTTGCAGATGAGAAATCCAAGACCCAGAGAAGTTAAATAAATCACCAAGATCACACAAAAAGTTGGTGGCATGAAATTTTCAGCTCATGTTCACTGGGAGTGTTTTTGTTCTCTATTTCTTAAGAAAAAAAGCTTCATTTTACAAGGGAGGGAGCTTGAGTGCCAAGGATAAAATTTCATCCATCACTCAGCTCCTGAGCTACAGGACACAGGTAGGACCATGGCAGGGTTTGCATGCCCCAATCTGCTCAGCCCTGAGTCCTGGCATCCGAAAAAGCTGCTGGTGAGGACTCTGGGAATGCCAGAGTGTGCCCATCCTAGCACTACCCTGTCCCAGTCTTTATGTGTGCATGTGGCTTTATCTGTCTCTGTGTCTGCTCTGCCTATTGTTTCCAAATTGCCTAAGTCACACAACAGACTTCTGTGTGTTTCCATTTCAGGGAACACCCTGCTGGGATGGGAGCTGCCAGAAGACTGGATTCCTTCAAGGCCTTGAACTTCAGGGCTGTGCTGACCGTCAGCTGGCTCATCCTGGTTCACTTCCCTGGGGTCACATCCACAGGTAAGCCACTGAAGCACCTGGGCCTTCACATTTTAGCATGGACATGGAAGTCAGTTCTCCTCTTTAGGGGAGGAATGGGAGAAGGGATTGTAGGGGTGGGGTCAGGGTGGCTGGGCTCTGGCCCATCCTTATTAAACTCCTTGATCCCAGGCAAGTCTCATCTTGGGCTTTCATCATCCACAAAATGATGGGGTTGGTCAAGAATCAGGGGTTGCAAACTCAGTGTCTGCAGGAGCCAGACATCTGACATAAAGGAATGAAGCTGGCTGGGTTGGGACTGTGGTCACCTGAGTGGGTGGAGACTCCTCTAAGACACCCTCTCTTCAGTTCTGCCAATTGCTACCACATGGGAAGGCGGATTAATTGTTGCAAGATATTCTGAATTTCCATGAGAAATCAGAATCATTAATTCAAATTTTAAAAATCACTGTAGGGGCCAAGAAAAAAAAAAAATCACACATCTGAGATGCAGTTTTCCACCTCTGTCTGGACCACCTGAACTCAGTGTCCCCTTCCTGTTTGTGTCATAGGATGTGGTATATTAAAGTGCTTTTCAGCTCTGATGCTCTGAGCAAGGACCACATTTATTTTTCTAGCTCAATATCTTCAACTTTTTCCTCTAAGTGGTTTTGAGTTAAAATCCAGAAATGTAGGTTAAGTTCGCTTGGGCTGTAGGAAATAGAAATTGAATAAAGCAAATGTAAGGCTGAAGATATGAGAGATAGAGGACAATTTTAAAATTTCAAATAGGAGTTTAGAGCACAGGTGGTGCATACCTGTAATCCCAGCATCTCAGGAGGCTGAGGCTGGAGGATCTCAAGTTCCAGGACAGCCTGGGCAACTTAGTAAAACCCTGTCTCAAAATTTAAAAAAGGACTGGGGATGTAGTTTAGTGTTACAGCATCCTGAGTTTAATATGCAGTGCTACCAAAAAAAAAAAAAATACATTTGGACAATAAAAGAAGAAGCAGGATTGTGGAATATGTGGACTGCACTGCGTGCACACAAATAAACAGGTGTTTCTCTTCCATGGTAGTCTTGTCAATAGACCACCTGGCCTTCCATAAACTGTCTTCTTTGGTTCCTAAAGTGATAGCTCTGATGGGAAGAAATAAGACTGTCACTGGACAGTGTGAGACATCCTGATTTTGTAACATCAGGTTTCTTTTATAGAAAATTTCATAGACATCAATCTCAGAGGTCCTGTAAGGCATGTTTCAATTACAAGACATGACAGGGAAACCTAAAGCCCAACATCTCCACCAGGCATCAAAATAAAATATTTTCAGTTCCTTCTAGTTTAAAGGTCATTTACCAAACAGGGGACACTTTTGTTGAAGAAGTGTTGCTTGGTAACATGGTTTATGGAGTACCATCTTTCTCATGTTTCCAGGGGAACAGAGCTAGAAAATTAACAAAAGGTCAAATTTTCATGCAATAAATAAATAAATAAATAGTGGGGGTGGGGAGGGGAAGAGTTTTGTTAACTCTTTAAACACTGCTTTCCAGAGGACAGAATGTTTGGAATTTAAGAAATCTGGATAAACTTTAGATTTTGGAATGTCCTGGGTAGCCATCTGGTCTACCCTTCATCGTGAAGAGGGAATCTAAACCCAGAAAAACTAAGTGACTTGATTACACACACATGATGAACTAATGAAAGACATGGGACCAGACTTCAGGGTTTCTTTCTCCTAGATCAGGGCATCTCTCTGATCTCTGGGATCTTGCTTTTAGCTCTAATGAAGAGGAGACAAGACCATGAAGATGCACAAGCCACTTATGGCCTGTGTTAATCCTTGCTTGGTGATGCTGGTGCATGGGAGCAGTGACATCTTTTTTTCTTTAGCAGTGCCAGCAGAGTGCCCTGACAAGAACCCTGAGCTGCAGCCCTGGAACCCTGGCCATGACCAGGACCACCACGTACACATTGGCCAGGGCAGGATGCTGCTGCTCACTTCTTCTGCCACATTCCATTCCATTGACATTTCAGAGGGAGGTAAGTCAGTCTCTCCCCTCCACAACCCCTGAGCCTTTGCAGGTTGTGAAGACTGTAGATGGACAGAACAGTGCTACATGCTTTGGGTTTATGTTGGAGCATCTGGGTTTATTTTGTTGTTTGTTATTTCCGATCACCATTAACTCTGAACACTTAAGAAGGGCTTGTTAAAAGACCAATTTTAGTAATAAGGGGTATATGAGGAAGGACTTCCTTATTGGTGCTCTGAATAATACTCATTTTAACTGTCATTGAATGTAGGGCATGCAGTGATGCAGTAAATAATGGGAAGGCATTATTTACACACTGCAAAGCAGTGTAAAATTACTTGCAAGGCAGCTAACACAGGAGTGTTTGGAAAATGTACCTTTTGACTGCCTAAATTAGATGGGGGACTTAGGGATTTTGCCCTTGGCTCTACTGTGACCTTACTCTTTAACACTGGTGTCCTTACCCTCTTCCTACCTCTTTAGGCAAGCTAGTCATTAAAGACCATGATGAACCCATTGTTTTGCGCACCCGACACATCCTGATTGACAATGGAGGAGAACTGCATGTTGGGAGTGCCCTCTGCCCTTTTCAGGGCAATTTCAGCATCGTGTTATATGGAAGGTGGGAAGATCCATCTTAGGGGTCAAATGTTATTCTTGTATCTGATGGGAAGGAGACTTTCTAAAGGAGAGAGGTAGGCAAGAGAATGAGATAAGAAATGTTCTGTCTTGCCAGATCCTAACTGTGAGCTAGATAGACATGGCAAAGTGTGTGAACTGGAAAAGCCCATGTGACATTTTACTTATCATGGCCTGAAGGCTGTCCTTGTGTCACAGAAGTCCCACCAGCCTTTCAACTGCCTTCCAACCTTGTCACGGTTTAGGGAAGCTCTTACAACTTATTTAATAAGTTATGATGGACAAGATAGAGGGAAATATCATGTGATGTTTGCCCCTGATTGTGCCCCCTCTTTAAGCAATTGAGAGTTCTTAGTGATAACTGGGAATATGCCAGGGTATGCAGTCCAGGCCCAGGTGGTCTATATAGATTAAAATATGAAACACTTAGAACTAAAAAGAAGTGGCAAAATGTAAACTTATAAGCATTTCTGTTGGCCTTTTGGGCTTCCTATTTGTCTGGCTTTGAAAATCAGGTTGCATCCAGGCATGGTGGTACACTCCTGTAATCCCAGTGACCAGGGAGGCTGAAGAAGAAGAATTGAAAGTTCAAGGCCAGCCTGGGCAACTTAGTGAGATCCTGCCTCAAATTAAATAAATAAATAGAGCTGGGGATGTAGCTCAGTGGTAGAGCACCCCCGGGTTCATTCCCCTGTTCAAAAGAAATAAAAGGAGAAGAAGGTCAGGTTGCTACAGCTGTATTACTAACCCCATGAGATCATTAAAAGCATGGCTTGCTCTATGGTGCCATGTTGTGATCCTGGAAGCAGTGGTGGTCCTCTGTGGGTTCAGCATCTAGTAAAGATATGAGTCTGCAACTCTGGAAAGCTTTTCTCCTGTAGGGCTGATGAAGGTGTTCAGCCAGACCCTTACTATGGCCTGAAGTACCTTGGAGTCGGTAAAGGAGGCACCCTTGAGTTGCATGGACAGAAAAAACTCTCCTGGACATTTCTGAACAAGACGCTTCACCCGGGTGGCATGGAAGAGGGAGGCTATTTTTTTGAAAGGAGCTGGGGCCACCGTGGAGTTATTGTTCATGTCATCGACTCCAAATCAGGCACTGTTGTCCATTCTGACAGGTAAGATTGGCCTTCACTTAACACTTAACACTAAACATTTAACACATGTATTCAGCACACGTATGTTGAGCATGTGCCCTGGCCATTTGCTGCTCTGGAAGTGGATGTATAGCAGTCAAAGAACAGAGTCAAAGAACTCTGTTCTCAAGAGTTATGTCAGCCAGGCACGGTGGCACACACTTATAATCCCAGTGGCTCGGGAGGCTGAGGTAGGAGAACCACAAGTTCAAAGCCAGCCTTAGCAACTTATTGAGACCCTGTCTCTAAATAAAAAATAAAAGGACTGGGGATGTGGCTCAGAGGTTAAGTGCCCCTGGGTTCAATTCCTAGTACAAAAAAAAAAAAAAAAAGAGTATGTCCTTCCCAGGCATTTGCTTAATGTAGCTGAGTTTAATAGGAACAAGTTTAATAGGAACACACACACACACACACACACACACACACACGTGCCTGAAACTCTAGTTTCAGATTGTGTTAATTGACAATGGGAGAAAAAAGTCATAGGGAAATAGTAAAGAGTTACTGGGGAAGGATACTTGGGTAGGGTGGTCAGAGAGAGCCAGTGTAAGGAAACAGCAGTTGAGTTGGGAGCTGCAGGGGAAGGATGCATGGGGAAAGTGGTGAAGACAGAGAGCACCAAGTACAAAGGGCCAGAGGTGCAAAAGGCATGATGACTTCAGAAGCCAGAAAGCCAACCAGAGGGGTGATGTGCAGTGAGAGATGGAAGAATTGCAAGCAGTACCAGAGGTTTGGATGTGAAGGGGCAGGTATAGGACCTTGCAGGCCACAGTGACGGGGTGGGTTTTATTCTCAGTGGTATACAAAACCACTGAAGCCTTTAAGAAGGAAAGGATCATGTTTAAAAGAATGTTCTGGTGGGGAGGGGGCATAGTAGAGGATAGGAAAGGCAGCAGAACACAACAGACACTAGTATGGCAATATGTAAATCAATGGATGTGTAACTGATGTGATTCTGCAATCTGTATATGGGGTAAAAATGGGAGCTCATAACCCACTTGAATCAAAGTGTGAAATATGATATATCAAGAACTATGTAATGTTTTGAACAACCAACAATAAAAAATTAAAAAAAAAAAAGAATGTTCTGGTGACTATGCAGAACATGGATTGATGGTGGAGGGCAAAAATAAACACAGAGGTGGTTAGGAAGCTTCTATAGTGGTCTAGGCCAGACATGAAGGACTCTGGTGGAAGCAACAGAGATGGGGTGGATGAACTTGAGAGGGATTTGGAAGGCAGAATGGCAGTCTCTGGCCCTTTCCCCTCACTCTCTTTCCCAGCTCTAGGGTAAGCTAGCCTGCCCTCAGCCTCCCTGGGACTCTCATGATGGCCCTGCAGAGGCTTCGCCTGGCACTCAGAGGGAAGGACACAGCTGAGGTGGACAAGCAGAGTTATCCTTGGTGCTGCTAGGGGAGACTTAGGGCTCATCAGGAACAGGACTGTGAGTGGCAGTGAAGGCAGCAGGGACCAGCTGTGGGACAGCAGCAGGTCTGGCAGGAACCATAGTGCTCACTGGTACACATGGGATAACTGGAACTCATCCCCTGGTGAATATTAGTGACCATGTAATCATTGGACTTGCTCTGTGAAAAATACTGTGTTCAGCACTTCACTGCTCTATATACTTTAATCTTTATCTTTATAGAAATTCTGTGATGAGCTGTGCACAGTGGTGCACATCTGTAATCCCAGCAACTCAGGAAGCTGAGGCAGGAAGATTGCAAGTTCAAAACCAGCCTCAGCAACTTAGCAAGGCTGTGACTCAAAATAAAAAATAAAAAAGACTGGGGATGTGGCTTAACCAGGCATAGTGGTTAAGCCACTCCCTCCCCCCCAAAAAAATTCTGAGATGGGTTCTGTTATTACCCACATTATGCAGATGAGATGATGAGACTCTGGTGAGGCTCAGTTTGCTTAGAGTCACAGGTTGGCGAAGATTGGAGCTGGGATTCAAACTCTTAACCACTCACTGAGTTATCTCCATGGCTCCCTGGGGACAGTCATCTGCCTTTGCCCTGGCTGAGCAGCCTGCAGGTGAACCTGGGATACTCACAATTGACACAAAGTACTTCTAAGGGCTTCCGCCTTCATCAGGGGAAGACAATCTCTTTAAGTGGAGTATCATTACAGATAGCAATCTAACTTTCAATTAAATTCATTATTGAACTATATAATAAGAACTTATCTGGAGAGCTTCTAGGAGGTTACAAAGAGAAGAATGCCTGCCTGCCCCAAATCTCCTGTGCTTGAAGTATGTTGGAGACCTCCCGGATCTGATAGCTGAATGTATGAGTACACACACACACACACACACACACACACACACACACACACAAATGCAGACCAAAGTCACCTGAAAAGGCTACTTCAAGGAGCAGGAACCTATGTTGGTACCTTGGTTCCTGAAAGGTAGTAAGAATTTGATTAGGTATAAAACAAACAGAACTGAGTGAGTGAAGACAAGAAAGGGCGTATGGTCCTAGTCTCTGCAAAGGGCTCTCCCTGCAGTAGATGACCCCGGGGGAAGGGCAGTGGGGACTAGAGGATGAGGCAGAGTTGAGCCAGGTTATACAAAATAGCTGAAGGTAAGTTTGGTGACTCAGGACCACCTCTTTTGCTACCATTTGCACCACACCACCACTGCTTTACTTTTTCGAAGTCTCCTTAGCTATTCACACTGGCTTATTTTTCTAGATTCATTTTAGAGCTATTTTGTTTTTAAGTTCCAAGACAAATTCCTTCCATTGTAATTGCACAAAATCTTCATACTTATGTGAGTTGGGATTGTTACTAAGTTGTATTTCCTTTGTAAATTCTTTTCACCAGTGGTGTACATTTTTTAAAAAATCTGTATTTCATGGATACTTCATGTGTATGACAACAGATTATCTTCATTAACTTTGAGATGACTGACTCTTAGCGGGGGTTGGTGGTATGAGCCTATTGTTCCAGATACTCAGATGGCTGAAGTGAGGATTGCTTGAGTCCATGAGTTCAAGACCAACCAGGACAACATAGCAAGATCATTATACCATCTCAACAAAACAAAACAATGTAGTTAGTGATGATCAGTTGTATAATACTGTACCTATAGTCAATGATATTGTATTGTAACACTTAAAACCTTGTTAAAAGGATAATTTCATGGCAAAGGTTTTACCAGAATGAAGTAAAATAATTTTTTTAGAAAGGATACAGGAAAAAGGAGAATGAAACAATATCTGAAACAGTTAAAGTTTATATCACTGTTACTCTCTATTGTCAAAACCAGAGATGACCCCTTTATGATTCTAGCATGTGTTAAGCTTCTGTAGGTACAAGATTTGGGGTAGTCTCCAGGTCATTTGCAAGAATTTTGGAGGAGTTGTTTCAGTCTGGATCAGAGAGAGAAATCCCTGATGCTTGTGGAGTCTGAGCTATCTCCTAACACTAGGCTCTGCAAGAGGCATGAACTGCTACCTCTGTCATGAAAGGGGAACATTAAAGATCTTGACCCTAAGTGTATGACCTTCTGAAAGTCCCAGGGCTCAAGGTCCACACTACTATAGACATTTCTTTGATATTTTATCCAATGAATGATCATATGATTAGAATCATATGATTCTTGGATATCACGTTATGGTATGCAAAAGAACTAAATTTACCTGAACTTTATTTTTGCAGTACTGAAGATTGGACCAGGGATGCTCTACCACTGATATACATCCCCAGCCCTTTTTAAAATTTTTTGTGCTCTGGAACAGGGTCTTGCTAAGTGGCTTAGGGCCTCACTAAATTGCTGAGGCTGGCTTTGAACTTGTGATCCTCCTGCCTCAGCCTCCAGAGTTACTGGGGTTACAGGAATGCATCACCATGCCCAGCTTTACTTGCTCTTTAAAGAAAAAGGCTTCATTGTTTACAAATCCCAACCTGTGGGATCTTTGGATGGCATATGAAATGCTGTATAGGTCTCTCTTCTTTTGATTGCTGTGACGACTATTCAAATTCTTTCTCTCTGCCTTTTATAGATTTGATACCTACAGATCCAAGAAAGAGAGTGAACGTCTGGTCCAGTATTTGAATGCAGTGCCCGATGGCAGGATCCTTTCTGTTGCAGTGAATGATGAAGGGTCTCGAAACCTGGATGACATGGCCCGGAAGGCGATGACCAAACTGGGCAGCAAACATTTCCTACACCTGGGATTCAGGTACTTCCCATCACTTCCACCTCCTCCAAACACCAGAACACTGAAGCACCCCCATCCCACCAAGAATTAACCTTTCGTTTCTTCTGCTCTCAGGGATACACCACCCACATAATGACCTTGGAGGATTCAGGGACATTGTCCATCTGCACTGGACATATTCAGGGATTGTTCTTAAGGGGAACCTGGTTTTTCTTACAAGCATAGTCCACTGTAAAAATACAAAAGTCTTTGATTTTCATGAACTCATTCATTCAGTCAGCCACTTACAAAATATTAGAATGTCTACTGAGCATAAGAGCCATGCCTTGGTGGTGCAGTTGACTTTCATTTTCCCTTTCTTTAGCAAAAGATTCATATTTTACCTTGGGGATTGGCAGACAGTTTTTAGAGATTATGCAAAGTATCTCTGCCCAGCCAAACACCCAAGGAAAAGGGGTTATCTGTCCCAGGGTTATTTGGAGACTGCAATGCTCCACCCTCTAGCTCCTCAGATCTAGGGTGAAATCAGGGGTGGGCCAGAATCTTTTCTTCTCAGAGCTCAGCAATTTTTCTAGCTGGACAGAGATTCCCTGGGTAAGGGAGGGGTGCTCTAGGTTCCAGGGTGCATTGTCTAACAGCCCTGGGGCTGCTCCTTCTGGAAGGGAAACTCAAGCAGGAAACTCATGTAGCCAAAGATGACAGTGATTCTTGGCGCTGTGAGACTCCTTTGTTAGCAAACACTACACGCATTTCCATTCCATTGTTTTATAAACCAAGAGGACAATTTATTAATTTATAGTAGGAAATAGAACCAAAAATGACTGGTTACTTAGCAGAGCCTCAGCATAAGATTCTAATGGCTCAGGGCCCAAGGTCTGGCATTGGGTGGCCTGGATTGAAGTCTGGGTTGCACCTCCTATGAGGTGTGACTACAGGCAAGTGACTCATTCATCTTCTCTTTGCATGGTTCCTCTGTAAAATGGGATATCTCAGGAATTCTCAGAAGACTTGCTGGGAGAAGTACATGTGATAATATTAACAAAATATTTGCCTGGTATAGAATAAGCACTTGATAAATGTAAGCTACTATTCTGACCTTAGAAACAGAAACCACAGGAAGGATGAGTCCTGCCATGTTTTATCATGTCCAGTTTTCATGGGCAAAGGAGACAGGAAAGCAAGAATTACATATATACCCCTCATTTGTATGAACACATACTTTTAGTGATAAGATCAAAGCATTTAAAATCAGTAGAAGCACTGAGACTTGGACCCTTCCTTTGTTCGCTAATTTAGGAAATGGTTATTGAACAGAAACTGGTGGGAGGCAGTAGGTTAGACCAGGTGTGCTAAGCTCTGAAGAGAAGGCAGAGGTGAATGGGAAATGGTGATAGGGCTTGAGAACAAGAGGATAGAGAAGTTAGTTCAGTGCAGATTTACAGGTAAGAGGAGGCCAAGCAGGTGCCCCATAGGCAAACTAACAGCTAGAGAGGCTCTTCCAAAGAAGTGGAGGAGTCCAGGCCGCTGCACTGTATGTGAGCTAGTGAGGGCTGAGGAAAAAAGGTAGGGGAAGGCACAGAAGGATCTTTGGCTCTGTGATAAGGAGCTTGGTTTTTGTCCCAAATGCAGTGGGAGCCATTGAAAGATTGAAGCAAAAGGGTGGATGTAGTTGAACCCTCAACCTCAATTAAACAACATTGAATAATGACTTACTTTCCAAGATAAGCAATCCAAACACAAATAACAAAAGCTATTCAACACCTAAATCTATTGCTATGTCATAGTAAGGGAGAGGCTACTGTAGGAGGAGAAATTTCTTTCCTCTTACCTTTCTAAAATCTTGGTGGAGCCCCTTAAAAAAAACTGGTTAACAAGAGAACAGCATACAAATGTCTTTCATATAATAAATTTTACATTTCCTTCTAAAGGAAATGAAGACCAGAAGAAACAGTTCAACTGGAGTGTATTTATACTAGGTTTGATGAAGAGTCCAGGAAACTGAGATAAGACAAAGGTTATCAGCTCAGAGTAGAGAACCAAGGGGAAGCTGAGCAAGGTCTTTCTATTAGGATTCTTCTTGGCATTCCTCTGCTTTATAGATGAGGATGCTCCTTTCTTCAGGCATAGGGAGGGCACCCCTCACACAGGGGTTTGTCACCTGCTATAGGGGGGAAGGGCAGGAAAAGTCAGGGAGTCATTCCTGCCATTTCTCAATTTCTTCACCTTAATGTTGAACATGCCAAGGTGCCATATTTTGGGGGCAACTTATCCTAAAAAGTCTTCCAAACCCCATCACTGCATTAGGCATGATGGTGAACACAAAAATGGGTAAGAAAACCTCCCTGCTTCTACGGTGCTTGTTTTTGTGGAGGAGAGATAGCGTACAATTTCCCAAAATCATAAACCTTCTTTTTCTCCTTTCCCTTCCCATTACGAGTAAGAGACATTTGGTCCCTCTCCAAGTCCCAAAATGTGTGGCCAGGGTGGTCAGTCACATTAGCCTGTGGCATTTTCCTCGAGCTCAATTCTTAGGGGAGATGAATATGAGAGAAATAGCCTTCCTCTCTTGGATCACGCTTCCTAAGCGAACCACAGCACTTGCTTCAGGATGTAATTGAGCTTGGCGGGTGGGACGGTTGGTCTGTTGGCCTGTTTGTTGATTTGTGATTCATACCCATCTACTGCCAGCAGGGAGTTGAAGAGACTCACAACAAGCAGACACTGGCCTAGCCAGGCATCGAGGAAGTTCAGGCAATTGCTTATAAAGAAAGACTCCTGTTTCCCTGGAAGAGGGAAGCCCCTCAGCAACAGGGAGGGAGGCTCTGACACTTGGGGCTGTTTCTGTTCTGCTCCCAATTCTGGAGAAGTTTATTTTTTGTGTGTTTTTTTTCAGACACCCTTGGAGTTTTCTCACCGTGAAAGGAAATCCCTCTTCTTCAGTTGAAGACCATATTGAATATCATGGTAATAAGTGGTTGGCGAGAGGACTAGTACCCTCTTGTGTCTCTCTGACCAAGAGGCTTTGGTTCTTTCTGAAGGACTCACTTCCCTCAGAGCATGGCTGACTATCTGCCAACACCTTGTTGAGTGTCCAGCCACTTGACTGTGTTACATGGAAGTGACAAAGGCCTGTGTTGATTGAAGTTCAACCATAATGTTTTTTATTTTCTAAGATGTCATCATTGGCTTATGATAGAACATAGACATGGCGTAGAAAACAAAAGAACTGGGATGGAACCAGCAGGGGTAATATTTTGAGCTAAAAAGACCTGTGGGTGGTCTCCAACACAAATGCTTGTCTCTCTGCTCGGTGAAGGTTGTGGGAGATGCTATGGTTCTAACCTCTGGGGCAGTGCAGGGAGCTCAGATCAGGAAAAATAATGGGGCTTCAAAATCTGAATTTGTGGAAATGCTACAAATGAATTTTCAAAACTGAAACAAAAGAATGAATAATGACCTTCTTTCCAAGTGAAAGAAATGGCCTGATTAAGGAAAAAAAATTTTTTTTTCTTAAATTGTTCAAGATTTATGGAATAGAGGTTTTCTGTGCCATAGAGCTCCAACCTTCTGAATCCAGGCATCTGTTTGGTTGCTAAAGCATCTGATCTCTCTGACAGGACACCGTGGCTCTGCTGCTGCCCGGGTTTTCAAACTGTTCAAGACGGAACATGGGGAATATTTCAATGTTTCTTCATCCAGTGAGTGGGTTCAAGGTGAGGAGTTTGAGACAGCCTGGTAAAGCTTAACACTGGATCAATGGCCAGGAGTCGTTGTGTGTAGAACAAGGTATTTTCTCTTAGGAAGTCCATAGGAACACATGGTAGAGTCGACTAAAAATTTGTAACTTAACGGTCAATCACCCAAAAGAATGTTTTCCCACTGGTTAAGGTTTGTATTCCATCTCAACAGGGGTCCATTTTGTTTAGTTTGTTTCATGGAATATTTTTCTTATGTCAGGGGATGGTGTTGACTAGGAATTATGAACCTAAAAATGAACTTGGCTTTCAAATAGTTCATACAGCTGGGTATGGTGGTTTATGCTTATAATACCAGCAGTGGCTCAAGAGGCTGTCAGGAGGATTATAGGTTCAAAGCCAGCCTCAGCAACTTGGTGAGGCTTAGTTAGACCCTGTCTCAAAATAAAAAAATAAAAAGGGGTGGGGATATGGTTAAGCACCCTTGGGTTCAACCCCTTATGCCAAACAAAAACAAAAACAAAAAACTCTAAGTGGCCCATACACAGGGGCTACAGAAAGTAGCAATCCTGGTGGATGCTTGGATGATGGGTTTACAGATGGATTTTATTTCTCCCTTTATGTTTATTTGCTTTTGCAGTAACAAGAAATATGTATTACCTTTATAAAAAAGAAAGTCAGTAAGCAGTGTTTTTAATTAAAAGATGAGAGAGTCAGGAGAGTTGGCAGATGGTTTAGGAGCCCCCCTCCCCCAGTCTAGCTCAACTATGGACAGATGGCTCTCAATTCCTATTGTGCCAGGAGTGCTTAGGACCACACTGAATGTGACTGGCCTCATGAACAACTTTCTGACTGATCCTGTCTTCACTTTCTGCCTAGATGTGGAGTGGACTGAGTGGTTTGACCATGATAAAGTATCTCAGACTAAAGGTGGAGAGAAAATTTCAGACCTCCATGTTGCTTACCCTGGAAAAATCTGCAACCGTCCCATTGATATACAGGTACAAAACTCCTAATCAAGGAAGGCTTTATTTTTAAGAAGTCTCTATAGATCATAAACTTGGGGCAGTGTGACTGTCATGGTCCTATGAGGTAGGTAAGCCAGAGAGTATTATTTCTACCTTAAATATTGAAAACAAGGCTCATTACCTGTCCAAAAGCTAGTACTACCAAACTCCCAAGTCCTGCTTCTGAGTCTCTTCCCCTCCTTAACTCTTTTTTAACTGTGTGAAATGCCTTTCAAGGCATGGACTTCGGTACCCAGTTCACTTCTTTACTGGTTTCCTTTGGGCCCTTGACTGCATGGAATGCTGCTAGGATTTGGGGTGCAAGCTGAGCCCAGCCCAGAGAATAAATATACTCACAGCCACAGCCATATTCTCCATTGAGTTAAATAAAAGCCAACATCCAAAGAATGAGCACGGTTCGCTTAGGATCTTCCCTTGGAGTTTATTCTATCTAAAGGAGATCTTGACCTTTCCTGTTGGCTCCATCAATATATTATTAAGTCAATTCACAGGGCTTTCAGTTCACTAGCTAGACAAGTGGGACATTGGGCTCTATGGACATCAGGAAAGGCAGGAAACACAGGCAAAGTAAATGGGTTTCATTAGAGGCCACTTAAATGTTCAATATAAATTAATTAGAAGTCATTTGAGAAAGGCTCCCACCACCCATTTTATTCTCTTTCAAGTCAATAAAAATACAGTAGGCCTTTTAAATCTATCGGTTCCACATATGTTAATTCAACCCACTACAGATACAAAAAAATTAGGAAAAAAAATTGTGTCTGTATTAAACATGTAGAGGACTTTCTTTCTTGTCATTATTTATTAAATGATGGAGTATAACAACTATTTACACAGCATTTACCTGGCATTAGGCATTAAAAGTAATCTTGAGATGATTTAAAGTCTATGGGAAGATATACATAGGTTAAGTTCAAACACTATATCATTTATATAAGGTAGCTAAGTATGGGCAAGTTTTTGTATCCACTAAGATTTGGCACCAATTCCCTTTAGATACCTGGGACAGCTGAAAGTGACCAATATTTGTACAACATTTTCTCCCAGATCATTCAACCAGGTCTTCTCACTGTGATTCCCCACTCCCCATGTATGTCTGGGCATAACTTTGGCTCTCTGCCTTGCACTGGAGGAGGGACCACTTATCCAGGGGAGACACTCTGTTCTGACTTAGCAAAGGCCAGGGAAACCTTTCTAATTATTTGGCTGAGGTGCCCCCCTTCCCGTGGCTCCAATGTTATTGAGAAGGATTTACTCAGATTAGGTTGAAAGTAACAGACTCTTCTTGAGTCCAACAGAATCAAAAAGCTCCCAATTCCCCTAAAGCACATACCTCCCAGATTTAATTGTAATTTTCTTTTGCATCCTTGAACATTACAGCTTTAATTCTGAAATAGCCATAATCTTATCTCTTGGGTTCACTTGACCACAGGAAGTCTATTCCTTTACCAGCCTCCCCTCTCCAAATAGTTCTGGAAATCCTCAAAGAATGCTTCTCGGTCTACAAATCCCTCCTGATTTTGGCTCTGCCAGCCGTCTGGCTACAGACCTTGTTAATTGAAAAACTATTTCTCTGTGCCAGGAAAATAGCTTTCCCAAAACATTTCCCATTTTACCATCTACTCTGTTCCCAGCATGATATAGGCCCTTCCCTCAGTGTCCCAAAGCACAGTTAAATCTAGGCTAAAAGCTCACTGGGCAATCCCTTCCATGGGGTCCCACCTTACAGTATATCAACACCTTGCGTAGCCATAGCACACAGCCCAGCCTCCTTCAACAAAAGGGGATACACTTGACAATGAATCCAAGTTTATGTTATCAACAGCTTGAAGTCCAGAGAAGAACAAAAGACCCAATGACAGTTGTTTCCCTCACCAAGAGGCTTGGTCACCCTTCCTACAATGGGCATTCTTTAAAACATTTTGTTAAGTGTTGTAGCACCCATTATTCCAAAACTCCCAATTCCAGAATAGGATCTTGTTTTTTCCTTGGCAAAACCAAGGCCGGTTGAGTTGTTCAATTAAAAACCTAAGAGTCGGGGCTGGGGATGTGGCTCAAGCGGTAGCGTGCTCGCCTGGCATGCGTGCAACCCGGGTTCGATCCTCAGCACCACATACAAACAAAGATGTTGTGCCCGCCGAAAACTAAAAAATAAATATTAAAAAAATTCTCTCCTCTCTCTCTCTCTCTCTCTCTGTGTCTTTGTCTCTCACTCTCTCTTTAAAAAAAAAGAAGAAAAAAAAAAAAAAACCTAAGAGTCACATATCTCCAAAGGTGAACCTCTTGAGTGTTTACTCTGCAATTACATGACCCTAAGAGTGAGTGTCACCTTAAACTTTGTGCCAGGTGACTTGCTCACAGTCCTAGCCATACATATCAGTATAGTTATTTAATTTAGTGCCTCAGTTTCCTCACATGCAGTAGTGAGGATAATCATTCCCTCATGGGATTGCTTTGTGAATTTAATGCAACAATAAATGAAGTACCTGAATCATTGTAAGTGTCCTGTGCATACATTTAATATTATTTTAATTGTTAATTATAATAATTATTACTCAAGAGCATAAATAACAATTAAATTATATCTACTAAACCCAGCCATGGTGGCACAAACTTATAATCCCATTGACTCAGGAGGCTAAGGCAGGAGAATCACAAGTTCAAGGCCCTTTGAAAGTTGGGCAATTTTGCAAGACCCTGTCTCAAAATAAAAAGTAAAAGGAAATGGGGATACAATTCAGCGGTTGAGCACCCCTGGGTTCAATTGCCAGTAGCCCCACCCCCAAAACAAATTTATCCAGAGCAAAGATTCTTTTCACTGAATGGTGATAGATTCCTTCTTATTCTTATCTGATACTAAGGTCATTTCTTAGGTTAAAAAAAGGAACAACAAAAACAAAACCCTAGCAGAATTGAGTAAATGTTCTCTTGAAATTATTGTTGGACTTTGTGCCTTGAAAAAAATGACCAGCTGTGTTGCATGATGTTCTCAAGCCCAGTCCTTAATATTACGGGGTCATCTGAAGGAGGCTCAGAAAACTGATCAGGTCAGAGGAGTTGGGCTTGACAGATGACCCTGAGCTCTGAATTTGCTGAGTTTAGCCATTTCCTCTAGAAGAACCAGTTTATACCCCTGTCTCTCTGGCTGCCACAGAGACCACCCAGATGATGGGGTGTTGGGGATGATTACAATGAGAGTGTGACTTATAGGCAAGAGCTGAATTTTAGCTGTGAATTTTAATTGTGCACATCTATGTAACTCTACATTCCAAGCCAAGGACAACAGATCTCTTAGGTTCAAAACGTTTCCTAAAAAGTTTTTTAGTTTTTGAGGTTGACTTTATTTTCGCTCCCTATTTCTCCATCCCTGGTCCTTTTGGTTTCTGGGCCAGAGACTCTGACAGCTGCAGCCCTTGCCTTAAATTGCATGTCTCTGAATGACAGTCACAGTCTTAATGCAGACACACCCTAGCTTTGGGATGAGCCCCAGCTGACAGGGATTGTGCCCTACTCTGAACCCACTCTTTAAATTCTCCACCAGGCCTGTAGCTTCTGGTGTGTCAGTCTCGCCCACTGCAACTCCACTCTTGCTGGGCCCTGGGCTGAATGCTGGGGGCAGGGAGATGGGCAAAAATCAGCTCCTTGCTTCCCAGACCCTGAGGCAGTGGGAGGAAGAGGTATGCATGTGAGGGCAGGAGTAGGAGGAGCTTAGAAGCCCCATTTGTTTGGCTCTGTCACTTGCTGGCTTTGTAATCCTGGACAGGTTACTCAGTCTCTCTGCGTGTCATTTTCCTTATCTGTAAAATGAACAACAACCTCATGGTTTTCCTGTGAGGTAAAATGAGGTATACGTGAATACTTAGCTCCTTATCTGCTAGAGTGGTTCTCAAACTTCATTGCCTATTGATCTGGGAAGCTTTTAAAAGCCCATATGCCTGATGATTGTGTCTGCTGCATTGAGGATAGAGCCTGCATGTAAGGATTTTTAAGACTTCCCACTCCCATATGCCGGGTACAGTGGCGTACACCTTTAATCCCAGTGATTCGGGAGGCTAAGGCTGGAGTATCACAAGTTTGAGGCCAACCTGGACAACTTAAAAAAACCCTGTCGCAAAATAAAAAATAAAAAGGACTGGGGATGTAACTCAGTAGTATAATCCCCCTGGGTTCAATTCTCCATGCGATAGGGCATACCGTGTGGGCACCAGTGGATTGAACCTAGTGAGTACTCAGGAAATAAAAATCCACGCCTTGCATGGTGCTGCTGCTGATTGTATGTGTTGTAAGAAGAAGCTGACCCAGGTTCTGAGAGCCTGCTTATTGTAGATGCTCTATAAAATGTTCACCAATAAAGAGCAATTAACTAAGTCACTACTTTGGGTTTCTAGTACTGTAGGACCCTAGGCATTTATCCATTCAGAGACATCATGGTGTCTTAAAACTCATGTGGATAATTGTCAGGATAATAATCTCAGGCCACTGTAAATTGTTTTGCAGCAGGGACAATTTTAGACTTGCAAGTATATGCTGAGAACATTAATCATCACCCTTCTTTACAAAAAAAAAAAATGATTTTGCTCTGTAATTTCCCTGCCATTCCCAGGCCACTACAATGGATGGAGTTAACCTCAGCGTTGAGGTTGTCTACAAAAAAGGCCAGGATTATAGGTTTGCTTGCTATGATCAGGGCCGAGCCTGCCAGAGCTACCGTGTGCGGTTCCTCTGTGGGAAGCCTGGTAAGTAGCTCCCTATTTCCTTTTTTGGGGACAGAAATGCAACCCAGCCTTATTCCTTGAGCCAGCAGTTCTGCATGGTGAATTTAGATGCCTAGATCAGCTGCCTCTGGGTGTCACAGTGACACAGTGCTCTTGTTATACACCTGATGCAGAGTGCTTTTATGACCCAGGAGAAATGAGAGGGTCCTCAGAGTTGGCAGGAGACAGCAGAGCCTCACCCTACCCATAACCCTTTCTGCATGGGCCTGGTCCACAAACGTACAGGGTGCAAATGGACAAAGCAAATTCCCTGCAGCCCTCCCCTGAAGAGATGTGTAGATTGTTGCCTATTTGGGTGCCATTATTTTAAGCCCAGTTCCCAAGGTGCTTGTTAGAAGTGATTGGCAATGGCCAGTTTGTCCTGGGAGGTGCTTGGTCTTCTGCAGAAGGTAGTCATTAAGGATATGACTTCTGTAGGGGAGAGACAGCTACTGTAAACAATAGTTGAGAGGAGCTATATTTGTTTTACATCTTGAGCAAAGTGGGTGTGGTGAGGTGGCCACATTTAACTCTAGCTAAGAAGTTAGTGGAAAATTCCCCTGCCCAGAGCTAATGAATGGTTCTTTTCTGGTCGAGGTTTTATTGACTTCAAAAACCTGTACCAAAACTGGGATGGAGTCAGCCTGGTGATTTGGGTTTTGGATAGGCAAACCTGGCATTTACTTATATAGGGAGAGGAAGGGAACAGATGGACAGCCAAAAGTTTGCTGAGAGCAAAGGGTTGTAGCTCATCTTTCCTGTTTTGGGTTACAGTGAGGCCCAAACTCACAGTCACCATCGACACCAATGTGAACAGCACCATCCTGAACTTGGAGGACGATGTGCGGTCATGGAAACCTGGAGACACCCTGGTTGTTGCCAGTACTGATTACTCCATGTACCAGGCAGAAGAGTTCCAGGTGCTTCCCTGCAAAACCTGTACCGCCAACCAGGTCAAAGTGGCAGGTAGGCTTTCATGTACCCTTCCTAGGCTTAAGCCTGAACATTGTCAGGCTTAAAGTCAATAGATATCACAACAAATCTGTATTGGTCAGTTATAACCATAATAATGCTTCACAACAACAACAAAATCTTAGAATCTCATTATAAGCATTTATTTCTTATTCATGCATCTGTAGGTAGTCCAGGTATGTTAGTCAGCTTTCTGTTACCATAAAAAACCTGAAATATGGACTGAGGATATAGCTCAATTGGTAGAGTGCTTCCTCACATGCACAAAGCCCTGAGTTCAATCCCTAGCACCACAAAAGAAAAAGAAAAAAAATACCTGAAATAAACCAACTTATAAACAGGGTAATTCTATATGCCTCATAGGTTTTTTTTTTAATTATTTTTTCTTTGTAGACATACATGGCAGTAGAGTATATTTTGACATATTATACATACATGGAATATAACTTATTCTAATTAGGATCCCATTCTTGTGGTTGTACATGATGCAGAGTTACACTGGTCGAGTATTCATATATAAAAGTAGGAAAGTTATGTCCAATTCATTCTACTGTCTTTCATATTCCCATCCTCTTCCTTTCCTTCATTCCCCTTTGTTTAATCCAGTGAAATTCTTCTTCTCTCCTCCACCCTTATTTTGTGTTAGCATCCACATATCAGAGAGAACATTCAGCCTTTGGTTTTTCAGGATTAGCTTATTACACTAAGTACAATAGTCACCAGTTCCATCTAGTTACCAGCAAATGCCACAATTTCATTCTTCTTTGTGGCCAAGTAATATTCTATTGTGTATATATGCCACATTTTCTTTATCCATTCATCTGTTGGTTCCATAACTTAGCTATTGCTAAGTTTTGGTACTTTCAGTCCGTGGTTGGTTGGCCCCATTGCTTTTAGGCCTGTGGTGAGGGAGCACATCTTGGCAGGAGCACATGGTTCAGGAAGTGCCTTACCTCATTGCAGCCAGGAAGCAGAGAGAGAGGAAGGCTGAGACCCCTTAGAGAGGTGATCAGAAACACAGGACGAGGCTCAGAATTGAAGCATTCTCCCAGCACAGTCCCCTGGTCAAGGCAAACCACATGGTCAAATTCATCACACATGAGCTGGAGAAAGCTTTCTCCCATTGAGGTTGAAGGGGGAAGGGGTTAGAAAATCTGTTAGAAAATAATTGAAACTACCACGAAATTACAAATCTCTTCTTTCTACAACTTTTGGGTTTTCCTTTTTCTTTTCCTAAATCCTGACTCAGAATCCCTATGATTTATGTTGTGTGAGGTTACTGGAATCACAGATTATTAGAGATAAAAAGAGACTTCAAATGTAATCTTGGTCAGTTATTCTTAGTTGGGAGAGTTTTTATCTATTAGGGTTCTTTGGCTGTAGGCAACAGAATTCAACTTGATTATGTGAAACAAAAAGGAAGTTGACTGAAGTCCTATTTGGCTCAGAGAACTAAACTAGAAGCTAAACAGCTGTGCTAAAAAAAGGACAAAGAATCAGGATCTTGGGTAGAAGGAGCCAGAGAGAAGCATCTCCAGAGCACCACTGTCTTGAGGAACTTGCTTAGTTCCTGGGAAGCTGTGCTCAACAGTCACCTTCCAGGAGAGAGTGTCTGACCAGCTGGTGGCTGGTGTGCTCATCCTGTGGCTAAGAGAGGCAGGGATTTTTACTGACAGTCCTTTTCAGATGGCACCAAGTTGAGGTGGGTCATTCCCTAAAGGAAAAGTAGGATGTACTACCAGAAGAAAGGAAAATTGATACTGGGCATTAAAAATATCACATGATACAGAATCATAGCATGGGGGCGGAGAAAGTATTTGAATTTGAAATAGGAGGAAGACTATGGATCAAGAAGGCATATTAGTGTATTCAAAATATGTTATTTTGGAAATAAGCCTACAGAAACTAAATTCAACATAGTCTTTTTGACTGGTTGAGATGTGCTTGAGACAGAATTTGAGGGAACATATTTTTTTAAAAGGTGAGAAAGAGTGATGGATTTTTTATTTTATTTTATTCTTGGCTGAAATGGACCTGGGTATCATGTGACTGAGGCCCTCCACAAACACCATGGCTGTGATCCCAGGGCACAAATCCTGGAATCTGCTAAAGTGAGGTTCTAATCATTTTGGGGGAGATAGTAACTTGGCAAGTATGGCCAGAGAGGGGAAGAAGGCAGCCACTAGTGGGTGGAGGCTGAGCTAACTACACATTTGTTCTTGGACAAGATGAGAATCTGCTTTCTAAATATTTGAATCCTATATTTTTTGAGAAAAGCTTTGGAATATCTTATCATAAGCACAAGTCCAAATGAACCTGACAACCAGGAAGAAAAAAAGAGTGAAAGACACATGTCTAAGTAATAAAAGACTGGTGGAAGGAGAACAAATTCAGCAAAGTGGGGAAAACTGAAATTAGCAGAAGATACTGTTTTAAGCTATAAAACTGACCTCTGACTTTCCTAGTATCCAAAGTAGAGAAACTTTACAAGTTACTAAACTATTATTATCTAATAAAAGGAAAAGGACCTGAAGCCGAGCACAGTGGTATAGGCCTATAATCCCAGCGGCTCAGGATACTGAGGCAGGAGGATTGTGAGTTCAAAGTCAGCCTCCGCAAAAAATGAGGTGCTAAGCAACTCAGTGAGACCCTGTCTTTAAATAAAAATACAAAATAGAGCTGGGGAAGTAGCTCAGAGGTCGAGTGCCCCTGAATTCAATCCCCAGTACCTCCCAGCCAAAGGAAAGAAGGAAGGAAGGGAGGGAGGGAGGGAGGGATGGAGGGAAGGAGGAAGGAGGAAGGAAAGAGAAAACTAAGCCACCTTTCTCTTAGCTCTGAGCTTCTGAGGAATTTGCCCCAGGGGTTGTCCCATGATTGATACTGCACAGTGAACAACAGTTCCAGAAGAAGTTTATGCAGAGATGCTCTCTGTGTGGCTATTTATTGATGGGGACATGATGTTGGTCACATTCTGTGAAAACATTTTTGTTTGTTTTTGCTTTAACTGCAGACTATCATAATGAGCACAGACTCTGGAACTAGGTGTCCATGATTAGAATTTCAGGAATGCCGATTATTAGCCATGTGACATCAGTTTGCTCATCTGTAAAATGGAGATAATGATCATAATTACTTCATGAGATTATTGTGAAGATTTAAGTTTATATACCTGAGGCACTTAAATGAGTCTGGCACACAGTAGTGGCCAATAAGTGCTAGCTGCAGTTATTATTAATATTAGGTGCAATCTTTTGACAACTAAGCTTAGAGATGGGAAGAAAAGAAAGGGCATTGCTGGCAGGCTATTGGTTGAACTTTGTGTATTTTGCATTTTATTATTTGGGGACATGCAGGTAGAGAATGTGTAGAGAGAGGAAAGTATGCTTAGGCAGCTTTGTGTCACCTGACAGAAACAATGTAGAGGAGGAAAGGTTTATTTTGGCTCATGATTTCAGAGATTCATTCTATGGTCAACCAGGTCTAAGGCAGAAACATCATGGTGCACAAGGGAATGGTGGAGGAAAGCTGCTATGCTTATGGCAACTGAGAAGCAGAGAGTAGGGGGCTAAACCCTTCCGGGGTACACCCTCAGTGACCTACTTCCTCTAACTAGGTCCCACTACCTAGTGATCCATTCAAATGGGTTAATGACCACTGATGAGGTCAGAGTCCTCCTGATCCAATCATTACCTAAAAGTCCCACCTCTGAACTTTGCTGCATTGGGGACCATGCCTTCAACACATGAGCTTTTGTGGGGATGACATTCCAGACACAAGCCATAACAGGAATCAAACTATTTCTATCATTATTATTAACCAACATTTAAGGGCTATCACAGGCCTGCAGTCATTTTCCTGCTTGTTGTGATGCCAATTGATATGGATGCCAATTTTGTGATTGTGTCTGCCATATTCTTCCTCTGCCCCCAGATTGAGCAGGTGTCCTAGTTCTTCCTCCACAGGGATACACAGGAAGGGGAAAGAGCACTTCATCTTTTACTCAACAAGCAATTGAAGAGCTTCTATTTTGTATCACACTCTCAAATGCCATTGTGAGCAAGATGAACATGTTCTTGGCCCTGGGGAAGTTGCAGAACAGCAGGGAGAATAGACATCCATCAAAGAAGCATTCCAATAAAAAGAAACTACCTGTTACAAAAGTAGAAGATGGGAGATACTGTGAGTATAGGAGAGAGGAATTTGGCAAAGTCAAAGCATGCAGGGAAGCTTTCCCATAGGAATTCAATTGAACTAGGGCTGGAGGAAGAGTAGAAGGTATCTAGGAAAGAGTCCGGAGAAAAGGAACACAGTGCGAGACTTTTGCTGGGGAATGGGGAGCATTCCACTATAAGGAGGACCAAGAGCAGCCAGAGTAAAGAGCATGAGAGCTCACAGGGCTGCAGAGCGAGGAGAGACCACAGGAAGTCATGGAAGGCCAGAAGCCCATTAGATGTCCACTAGCAAGGAAGGCCTTTCCATGTCCACATCTACAGGAAGGCACTCAGAGAAGCAAGTTTTTAGTGACTTTTAGACCCTAGGGTCTTCACCAATGACTTTGTGTCACCTGGGGACAATGCTTTGTGGACAGGCTTCTGGGATGTCAGATGTCCCCCTGACTCAACAGGAGTGGTATTCAGACCTTTGAGTTGATATCATTGCTCATGACTCTGGACAGCAACTGTGGCTATCCAGGAGGGTGAAAAGCCTGACTTTGAGCCCTGGCCAGCATGGAGGTGGATGGAAGAGTGGTCCTGGAAGAAGTTCTCTAGGTATGTTCAGACACCCCCTGATTTGTAGCTGTGTTGGGCACCCTGACAGCTGGAGGGGAGATCTCACTCTTAGCAGCTGTGGGTGCCAAAGTTAACCCTGATATAGAGGGACCTATGAGACGATGGAGCACCTCTAGCTCACCCTACAGTGAGGCCTGGTTATTGATGCTGAGTGGTGCTCCTCTTGACAATGTTTGACCAGCAGGACTAGCTGCCCTTTGAGGC